CTCTTATTACTCGTTATGCCTTTCTTTTTCCGCTGTCGCAGTTCATCGATTTTCTTCAATTTGACTGCATTAAATATGCCAAAAGCTACTCCCTCTTTCTTTCTCCTCCTGCCAGCCATTCTTGGTTAATTCTTTATATGCGCAATAGCCAAAATAAGCCGGAAAAGGAGCGAAAGAGAGACGGGAATAGAAGCCGAATAAATGACAAAATGGCAAGCCGAGACAACAGGAACGTGTCGTCATCAGTTATCCCCCACCGCCCACTATATAACCTTTCACCCCTCATCCTCTGTCTTGTGCCCAAAAAGTTTGATTGATACGCATGAATCATGCTTTCGAAAAGGGCGAGACACCAGAAGGGAAGTACAGTCAAACGAGGTTAAAGTGAAATACTCGAGTCAGAGTTGCATTTCAAAATAAGAAATACGATTCCCTTTTTGAGTTAGTAAAAGTATCTTCTCTAATTTCTTATTATTTATCCATTGCCATCCATCAATCTGTGGGATTCACTGTACTTATAGTCCCTTCTTCAGACATTTGATGACTCTATCACTTTGGGGTTGCAAGTTCCGGATTTTAATCGGACTACTTAACGTACTGAATTGTTCAGTTGCAGTTTTTCCTTTATTTTGTCTCCTTTTTTTGGATTTCGGGGGTGGCGCTGAAGCAAACTTGGCGCCAAGCTGACGAGACAAAATCATTAGGGAAACATGAAGCTAAAATAACAAAATTAACGAGGGGGAGTTCGAAAATGTAATGATGGGTGGGAGGAGGCCGAGTGGCGGAATGGAGGAAAATAACATTCAAGGACATGAACTAGTAGCGACAGCTATTGAAGGACTTTGTGTAATGTGGTGTGAAAAATCAATGGGCCTTCAACTCCTATCCTCTACATTTTTATCTCTATTTTATCTCCCAGCAGCTGGCAGTTGTTGACGTTATACACTGCGTATGCGTAATATTCCTGGACTACAAGGATAACATTCTAATTGCCTGGTTAAGGAGAGAAGCCTTGAAAATCTCTGAAAGATATATGAACATTAATCAAAGTTTAAACAGTTTTCTATGGGATTATGTATATGTTAAAGCTTTGCTTGAGGTTTGTTTCACTTTTCAAAAGCTTCAAACAAAAGAAAACACAAGTATTTGTCGGTTTTGAAGTTAATATGATTGTCATGGCTCCCACACATGCATAAACATAAACAAAAAAAAACCCACAAAACTAGTTTTCCTCACAAAGTTCAAGCAAACAACTTTTCAAAACCAAACAGTCCAAGCTGTTTCATCTTTTCTTTCAAAAGCTGAGCCTAAAACCTTACAAATTCAAGGGCGCAGTTTGAAGAATATTTCATCTTATTTTACATGCTCAAAGTTGTAGAAGCGAATAACGAAATAACTGAGCTTTAACCCGATTCAATTGAACTGCTTAACCCTAGACAGCCACTCGAAAGAGAAGAAAACGAAGGCAAGTCACAGACAATATGAAAATAGATTCATTTAAAAGACAAAGGAAAAGGGAAAGTAATACGCGGCCACAGTCGTATATTTTCCCTAAGGGGAAAATTTGTAACACTAACAGAATGATAAATGATTAGAAAACACGTTTTTAAATATTATTTTGTCAGGTTTCTATTGTACATTCCTCGAATTTTCTCTTCAGATGTATTAATCATCTTTCGATGCGTCAAGGGGTTCTGTTTTTGTGCCCAATGACCATATGCGTCGTCGGCACCTTATATTATTAAATGCAATCAATTGAAAAAAGTATAGAAATATTCTGACTCATTTCGATGTGGTCATAAAGTAGCTAAAATAATATATAAGACTACAATTCTAGAACATAAACATGGCCAAACATTGCAGAAACAGTCATTTCAATGAATTGATTTCCCAAAAACATAAATATTTATAAGAGAACTGTGAAACAATTTTAGAAAAAGACTATCATATCTTCCATACAGATATCCACAATCATAGATAATGATCATTGAATCGATGGACCGCTTTCTGTTGCCATCTAAAAATAACTGTGCACGCATTGCGTTGCAGCAGCAGCAGCAACATCAGCAGAAAACTAGCAACAGACAACAGAAAACAAACAAAAAAAAAAGAGCAGAAAATGCGACATCAGACATCGGCCAATGACAACAATAAAAGTATGTCAGGCTGAATCACGGAGGCGTATAGATAGATATAGATGTGGATATATAGATAGAATGCACCACACAAAAAAGACAGATAGTAAAAAAAGATATATAGAAAATTGGGCGCGCGACTGATGTAATGCAAACACAGAAAAAACTCAAATATGAATATAATTTATGCGGCCTAAATTCAGATTTTATGCACTGTAACTTAGATTTAGTAATCTGTTATGGTATTTAGTAAGATTATACAAAAGGTTAAGTCAAAATAACACAAAATAAGGCAATAGATATACTCCTTTCTCTATAACTAAATAACTTAAAAAACAAATGAATCTTTCAGAAACCCCTCCTAGAAACTCCCATCTATTAACTAACACAACATTTCTCTCTGTGCAAACTGAAACCAACGCAAGCCAACGAGCATAACCAAATAGTTATAAATTAAAAATGAAAAGAGAAAAAATGCCTGTAATTTGGCTTATTACATGGCTAAGATAAAATATGGAAAATTGGCCAGCAATTTCCGTTTTGTCCCACCGCTATTTGCCTTGTAATATATATCTTTCATAAATCTGTAAGTAAGTATTTTGCAATTTGAAAAATTTCCATAGACTTTCGATTAATTTAATCGAGATTACAAAATGATATAATTAAGGCATTGTTTAATCAATTATTTATGCATGATTTAAGTTTTTATATCACAAAATGTAGAAATGTTGGAATAATCTGGATAATAGTAAAGCAACTTAATTTTTAGTTAACAAAGATGGGAATTTTGTAATCTAAAACTTTTCAGGGCCCTCTAGTACTTTCAACTTTTGCCCATAGATGGCGCCCAAAGAAGTAATCCAATCTTTAACCCATTAAGAAATTCTTGTTAAATTCTATGAAAATTTGGTTAAAAATTGTCCCGTACAATTACGTAATGCTTAGCCGGCTTAGTTGAGTTAATTTCTTCTTCTTTTTTTTCCTACAATTTTTGTTTCCATTTCGTTTTGGTTAAAATTCTCAACGTGCTTGTCCATCCGGTCAAACTGGTTTTTTGTGATATTACCGCTTTGCTTTTGATATTTCTTTTTTTTTATTTTTCTAACACTGTACCTAAACCACTTGCTATGTCCGACAGAGAGGGGGATAGTGCAAGGGAGCGAGAAGCCAATATAGAATGAGATGGAGAACGAGAGGGCCAAAAAGAAAAGCGCACACACATTTCCCACTATTAACCCATTTTAGTTTTTGTACGTGTAAAAATAAACAACACACAATTTTCTCATTCCTTTTGCTTCTTCTGCTTCGTCTCCCCGTCTTCTTCATATTATTATTCTTGCACATTTCTCACGTTCTGCATATGTGTGAGTATGGGCCTGGCATTCGGCCATCTGTTGCTATTCTGCCGACGCCAACTGCGCTGCTTCCGCACTGCTTGCACTTGTTGTTTTTGCCAATTTTCTGATTAGACTACAGTGAAAATGCACTATCAAGAAATCAGTCTTACAGAAAGTAGCAATTACTTAAGAAATGCAGAAAATGTATATAAATTAATAACCTTTTAAACTTGAAAATGTTTTTAAGGGCTATCATTTGATATACATATCTATATATCACTAAGCAATAGCTACTGTATCCAGTGCACTGTTTGCACTGCTTTAATGACACGCTTTCTGAAATTCCTTAAGCTTTAACAACCGCTGCTAGTAAATTAATGCATTATGCACTTAATTTGTCTAACAAATTATGTTCTTTTCATTTTAGTTTGTCGAAATGCAATGAAAATGTGGGGAGGAAAACTATATTTCTTGCATATTTCTTTTTCAAACACAAAAATACCATATTTCCCAGTCACTTTGGAATTCTTTCGATGGCATGCTGCTGCCGCCTGTGTTTCTGTCCATTTCTGTCCGTCCACACCCCCAACTCTTTGGCAATGAGGTCATACCATCACCATCACCATCACCATCATCATCATCATCATCATCAGCTCAGTGCCACTGTTTGCCCTCTGTCCACAAAATTTTTAACTTCAAATTCCGCATTTTTCAACCGAATGACTCAATCTCCCCCCCTTGCAACGCTCTACTTAAAACAAATATAGTGATTAAAAAATAAAACCTATATGTAAATCGAAAGAAGCGAAACGAAACGTGTTTAGGGAACAGGTTCAAATCGGTCTTCTGAAGCAGGTCTACGAAATTACTCAGGGTAACAAAAATATTACTCACTTCCTCAACGAAACTTGCATCATCACAGAAATAAAACAAGAAGCCAGCCAGGAAGGGGGTGGTGGCAAATAAAACTTCTAAAAACATTTTGAAATATATTTTTGGACAAGACGACAACGAAAATAGCTCAACAAAGAGACAAAGTCTTTTGTCTTAGTTTTTGTATTTGAAATATTAAATACTCTATAGGAATATGTTTTTGTAAAAGAATTCTTGACTAAATAATAATAAAATCCTTTTAAATAAGACCTTAGACCTAAGTTCCACTGTTTTTAGCAACGAAAACTATTTTTTAGGCCAAACTACATATATCAAGTTGCCTGAAAATGTGCTTCCTGCTGTTTCTCGAATGAATTAAAAATACTTGTGACGACGCGAAATATTTCGTAAAAAACAACCCGTCTAGAAGCAAGGCTAAAGTAAATAAACAAAAAAGAATACGATTTCTTCTATCTTCTTGTAGACGCGGCTGCTTAAATTTGATTTATGTGAATTAAAATAGAGGAGGGCTGAACTACATAGAATGTGTAGAGACATAAAAAAGAGATCGCATTCATTAACCATATAAAACTATTTCCACAATTTTCCAGAACTCTTTTGATTATATTTTCCTGATCTTTGGCTATAAACTTACTCTGGTTCAGGTTGTCCATCGGCTTCACACTCGATAATGAATGGATTGTCACTTTCCTTATTTTGCTGGGCTACTTTGAAGAGCAATTCTCCGGGAGCCGGTTGTTTGGTGATTCTTGGTGGGCGATTGTCTAAAGATATTACGAAAAGAGAAGACAAGGGGATAAGATCGATGAGCATTGGGTTCCAGTCTACTAATTGATCGCATAAATTGAAGATTTCCCCTCAAGAAACCGAGGATATTTTTAGCTTTTGACTAATTTTTCGGAACAAAATGGTTTGGGGAATACACTTAAGAACAGATTTGGGTTGGTTTTCAGGAAGATCTTAAAGGAAAATCTCAAGTGATCTATGCGGATCTGCATTTAAATTAGTTTCTTTTTGGTGTCTATTAGCGGACAAGTTTTGGGTATTTATAGAAATAAAAGCCCATGTGAGTTAAAAATGAATCTCAAAGTTATTTATTGATCAAAAAATGAAAATAACTTACGTTTGCTTGCTGCACAGCTCGTCACAAAAACCACTAATAACGCGGCCAGTATCGTTGACTGCCGCCACATTTTGGTCGTATGGCTCTCCGCTCGGCACCTCGACTGTATTTCGATTTTCTTTTTACTTGGATTTATTTTTGTTTTCTATTATTAATTAAGTTTGGAATGTGTAGGTGTGAGTGTGTATGCCTGCTGCTGTTGATTCTGTTTATATTCCTCGGTTGCCTCTTAAATATCAAACAATTTTCCCACTAATGAAAATTGCATGCGAGCCGAGCTTTTATTACTTTCTGCTGTTGCACTGCAAAAATAAGATTATGACAACGATGATAAGACTAGACTGGCTGGCTGGCTGTGTCTCTCTCTCTCTCCAGAACTTTACACTTTTCAATTGCAAAAATGGCGAAAATTGCGAAAATTTCAAAAGCAACGCAACGTAACGCGACGCGACGAGTGCGAGTGAGATGGTGTTAATGAAAAGTGGGCGCTTTCAGGTGGGTGGCTGGTAAAAGTTTATAGCACGTCTCTTGTCTGCAAAGAAAATGAGAAGAAGTAGAAGAAAAACAGTCGTGAGTAATGCGATTATTTAACTTGATTTCAAGGAGGGAAAAGTGTTCACTTAATGACTACCAGATGTCTTTATTCTTAGGAATTTCCCAAGTTGACTTACAAATATGGTATGGTTAAAGATATATAAACTTAAATTTTAGTTTTTGGGTAACCAAAATATAGATTTTTTTACATACATTTTAGGAGTATTCAAGATTAGGACCTGCTTTTTAAAAGATGATTCATGTTTTAAAGAAAAAAAACTTTCTGATAAGGATGCCCGTCCCATATAATAAGTATTAAGATTAAGAAAGGCTTCCACATTTTTATTACACAATTTTGGTTAAGATGGGAAACACATTACAAACAAAAACCCAAATTAAAGCAAACGACAAAAACATTTTTGGTAGAGATTAAAACTTTTAAGATAAATAATATAAAAAAAATATATACTTTGATTACTGTAATCAAAATTTAGTTTAAAGTTTTGCTTGTATTCTGAGCAAGTTAAGACCCCCAAAAATGCACAATTTTCCACCTGCTTAGGCAATTTAGCCACCACACAAACATTTTTGCCTTGACCAGCGCCCGACACCCCACAAATTCGATATCGAATTTGCTTTTTTGCCATTTCGAATCATTAACCGCACAAAGGCAAACAAGAAACTAGAATACAAAAACGACGAAAAAAAAAGGGGGAAAACAGCGGGGGAAAACAAACGCAGACGAAACGAGAATCGATTATTGTAAATTTATTACTTTTGCGACGATATTTGCCTTGGGACAATGAAAACAGTGAAAACAAACGCGGAGGAAGTGGCCAAGAGAACTGAGACAATTGGTAAATGAAATGCAACACCACGAGAACCAAAACCAGAACCATTCAATGAATCAATATATATATGTCTATATATATATTTCTATATACGAGTATATGTAGAGGGATAGTACGAGGTAACGTCATAGACCTGGTTAGAAAATGTGCCAGGGCAGTTAGCAGTTGGCAGAGGAAGCATAAAAACATGGAAAAACAACTCAGAACTAGATGGTACAGGTTGCTATATAAGAAATACCCCTTAGTTTTCAATTTGCATGTTCTTATATAAGCAAAAGATGAAGCTAGTTAAATGAACATCTCTTACTCCCAATATTAAAGTTAACTCCAAACATGACTTGGCTAACACTCTAGGTAGAAAGAGACATCTTAAAAAGATTTCAAATCCACAGAACCCTTTCTTCCATCCCCTGTAAAACTGTAATGCCTAAGACATACCCTTTACTTGTAGCCAAAACAAAGGGGTGGAAAAGCCCCTCCTCGTGTGTGCTAATTGAATTAGCGATTTTCCATTGACAGGTGCCAGTGCCGCAGCCGTAGTCCGTATTTTTCTGCGCTATTCTCCGCCGGAGCCTCTTCAAACTGGCTAAAATGCTGAACTGCAACGGACGTTCCAAGTTTTCAGTTTTCAGTTTCGGTTGCGGTTTTGGTCATTCCCAAGCCCATTACTGATCAAGTGGATAGTGGATATATCGTTGGCTCTGAGGCAATGAGCCACCACCAGCAGCAGCAGCAGCAGCAGTTCCATCATTACCATCATCACATCCATCAGGTTCAATCGGAATCGCAATTGGAGCAACGTAACTCCGATCTGGAGCACAATTCCAATAGGAATACGAATCGCATTGGTTCTTCGATGGATTTCAAAAACCTATGCCAGCGCATCGATGTGGACGGTTTGAAAGGTAAGTGGATGGAGATTTTCGGGGAACTACTTTGGAGTTGATATGGATTTTAAGGCCTACTCATCAAGGTCGTTTAGGAAAAATCAATAATGAAAACTGATGATCCTTGTTTTTAGTGCTCATTCCCTTAATTTGTTCCCCCCACAGCCAAATTGCCACAGCTTAAGCTGCCCAAATCGTTGCCCAAGTTGCGTGGTCGCAAGATTTTCCGCAGCTCCAAGAGCGGAGCAGACGGAGCAGCAGGGGGATCATCAAAAGATGGAGCAGGAGGAGGACAGCAACAACAAACCCATCTCCAGGTGGCAGCGCAATCGCAGCAGTTCATCAACAGGACGCCCCAGAGGATCTCCACAATCAGTTCACTGATGTACGAAGGCGAACAGGAGGAGATCCGGGCAAGTCTTGGAAGATCGCAGCCGGGAACGTACAGAAGTGCTGGTAGTCTTGATGATGATTACTATGCACCTGGCAGCGGGGAGAGAGCTTCGCGTCCAATTAGTCCCATTAAAATACCAGTTGGTGGGACAGATGATACTGGAAATTCCCGCACCACATTAACCCAACGATTGCAGAGGGGTTACAAGAGCCTGAGTGAACTGAGGATCAAGCACATCTTTGCCAAGCAGACGACAGTGCGAAAGGACAACATCGAGGTGGATCGCTATGTAGAGCAATATGAGCGGGAACTCAAATCGGAGAAGCGGGCTCGGGAACGCAGGGATCGTGAGATAGCCGAGAACTATGACATCAAGATCAAGACCTTGGCGGGTACTCGGCAAAATACCTTCGACGATGACGAAGTGGAGCACGAGCAGTTCGAGAAGGGCAAGATTAGCCATGAAACGGATGAGAGTGGCATGGAGGCCACACCACCATTACCTAGTCGTCGAAAGCCAGGTATAGCTGCCACCAGATTCGCCAAGGTTAGAAAGCCTCCCTTGGAGATGGAGGAGCAGCAGCAGCAAACAGGTGACGAGGATTCAAAGGAATCGCCACCAAGAAAGCAAACTCCACCACGTCCCAGTAGCTATAAGCAATTGCTCAACAAGTTGCCACATCTACCAAGTCTCCCGAGCCTTCCCCAGCTTACCAGGAGCAAAGAGGAGACTCCCAAAACGGAGGAAAATGCCGAGGCCAATAATCCCAGTTCCAAGTTGGGCATAAGGCAAAATATCAAGAGACTTCGAAAGTCCATCAAACGTCCAGCCAAGATTAAAACCAAGGTTACAGCTCCAGACTCGGATGAGGACGAAGACGTGACCGAGGGCGATAGACCTAAAGAGCCACCCGTCAAGAGCTCTTCTGCAAATCTCAGAGCTCGTCTCAGCCGTTTTGCATCCACAGAACAGCTTCAGCAGCGTTGGCGAAAGAGCTTCAAGGGTTCCAGGGAAACCAAAGATGGTGACCCGAAGCAGGGGGATAATGTAGAACCATCTTCTGGTGCTGCTGCATCTGGAATTCTGGGTGGTCTGCTTCTTGGCTCTCAACTAGAAAAGACCCTGACCAAACTCAACGAGAAGATGCACCAGATCAAGTTTTTTCAGCGGCACTCCAACAGCCAAAACTCGGCCTCGTCGCAGCAACCCAAACCCAATACCGTGGGTCACGAACCGGTCGAAATCGATGATGAAGAACTGGCGGCCACCTACCATCGCACCGACAGTCTCGAGAATGAAAACGGAAACGATGACAGTGGCGAGGACATATCCGCTGAGGAGGCATTTGGCCAGATCCAGCAAGAGGATCAGGATCAGGATCAGACGAAGAGCAGCAACTCATCCGTATCGGGAACTTCGACCACCCACGCTGCTCGCCAGATGGCGAAGCTGGCTGAGATACAGGCGGCGTCGAAGAGCGGAGCGGCTGCCTGGAGCAGTGAATCGCTGGAGGAGATCGCCGACGAGGACTACCCAAGGGTACTCATCCACCAAGAGCACTCCGATGCCTACGAATCCACGCTGATCATAGCGGTGGCCTCGAAAGGTGGTTCGGTATCTCCAGCTCTTCGAACTTCTGGCTATTCGCCTTGTCTTGGACTTAAAGCTTCTCCAGCAACTGGAATACGGACTTCTCCCTATCCCGAGATCAAAATCTCCTCATCTGGACCACAAAGCTTGTCCTATTCTCCCACTACTAGTTATCCTGACCAGACGACGACCAATAGATCTCCATCTCCGGAATTCAAAACACCTGCAGGTGGCATTAAAGTCTCACCATCTGAGGCCAGTGTTTGGTTGCCCAACGAACAGATCATAGCTGGCTTCAAGGAGCAGACATCCTGGCCAGCTCCAGCCTTGTACAAGCCTAAGAGCATTGATATATTCGAGGCCTCAGCCGGAGGATCAGCTGCCTTTGCCGATTTCGATGAAGCCCTGCGTAATGCCCCCGTTTTGAGGATCAGTGCTGGGAGTAGTATCGATACCAGTGGCGAGGAGGCGGATGACAGTAGTTCCCGGGTCACAAGGATTCGTGTGCAGAGTCCACAGATCGGAAATAGTAGAGAGAGTCTGATGGCTCAGGAGGAGGAAGACGAAGAGGAGGTAGAAGTTGATCGGGACTCGGAGGAGGACAGAGACCCCTCGGAGCGACCGCCATCGGAGTCGCCACCACCACCGCCACTTCCACAACGACGTCCGCCTCCGAAACGCCCAGCCACGCCTCCCATTTACGATGCAGTGCCACCACCGCTGCCAATTAGCAAACCTCCGCCACCACCACCGGCAGAAACTCCAACTCCATTTGTGACACCAGTTCCTGTTCCTGTTCCTGTACCCTCGCCAGTTCCCCTCAGCCGGGGAGGAATCCCCCAGAGAAGCGCCTCCATGTCGCGACCAGCCAAACCACTGGTCAAAACCAGTTCCCTGCGCCTCACATACAACGAACAAGTCCGACCCGGTGATGTGGGCAAGGTCAATAAGCTGATATCTCGTTTCGAGGGCGGAAGACCCCGGCTCTGTCCAAGGAGAATGCACAGCGAGGAGTTAGAGCGTTGTGGTCATGGGGATGAAGAGGAACCCGAGATGGAGCAAATCCTGGAACTGCAAATAACCGAAAAACGAGTCATCGCGGACTCGGTGACACCAACAAATCGAGCACCTGTGGTCATACCACAGATAACACTCAATAACAATAATGAACGACAATCGGATTCCGATCAGGATGAGATTGCCAAAAGTAGAAAAAAGCAATCCATGGATTTGGCTTTGGATCGTCAGAACTCGAATTGCAGCAGATCCGAATATGGTTCACCATTATCCTTCCCCAGCAGCCGGCGCAGTTCCACGCCCACGAATCTCAATGCCAATGCGAATCCAATACCAAGTCTCATTACCAATCCCAACCAGAATTCTGTCCAAAGCCTGCAGCAACAACGACGTAGCCGACGATCCATGACCCGCGACGATGACAATTTCTATAGCTTCGATAGCGACGAAGGTGAGTTGTTAAATCATATCTATAAATAATTTTTAAAATATTATTTAAATATTCTTTTAGAGAACAGCTACTACTCTATAAGTCCCTCGGGCAGCAGTCGCTATGTGGTGGAGATCTGAGCGAAAGTAAAGGACTATATATGTATATAGGTTAAGGCCCCTTAATATTTGAGCCACACAAATTGAACAAAAATCGTAAAATATTAATTCAGAATTAATCAAAAGTAGTATCAGTAGCCGAAATATTTTTTAATTGCCCAAAAATTGAAATTTAAAGAGAAGTTATCAAGATGTCTGCTTTACCAGCAAAACTTTAATATTTTTTTTTTCTCTAGCTTAAGCTTTTATTTAACAAAAGCAAGTACAAGTTGTATAACTTTAAAGAAAATACAAAAATAAACAAGCGATATAAATATCGTATATATTAAACAAGCAAATATTTAAGCTCCTTATCGAAATTTAAAAGTTAATTCATTTAGAAGAACTTTTCGGTAGATAAAATGCATCACGAGTTCTTTTTAGGGTTGGAGGAAGTTGATTAATCGGGGAGTGGTAGGCTGATATAGGTGCCAGCTGACACTCGTACTTACCACCCTATATATATAGACTATATATATATATATATGTATATAGAGTGGTGGTTGCAAGGATCCCGAAAACCTGAAATTACTTCCCCTATCGCTGTCGGCGTCTGACTCGAATCGCTGACTGAGCGCATTTTAATTGATAATTTATGCTAATTAATTAATTTGGTAAATTCTCCTGCAGCGAGAAATGCATCCAAGGGTGGAAATGGTTGCAGACATGTATTATTTTAGTTTTTAGTAGCCAACATATGGCGGCTATAAGGATAATGTCGACTTCTTTTTTGATAACCGTGAACGGCCAAAGATCATGCTGAAACGTACAACATCTGTTGGTTCTCGAAAACTTTCTAAGGGTTTGGTATTTATTTTATAACTATTAACTATGTTTAATATTTAATTGCAAAAAATTAAATCCCTTCGAATTTAAATTGTAAAAATCCCAAACAGATCTTCTAAAGTTTTCCCAAAAGTTTTCCTTTCCAGCAATTTCATGTTTCGTTTGCTCTTTTGACTTGGACTTTTTGTGGCCTTGGCCCTTTGATTCGACTGCAATGCAGTGCCATACACATATGCCCCCCTCACATGGCCCCCATTTCTTAGCAACCGATTTTTCCTTTCATTTTCACAGCTTAGTCACTTTCCGGGGGCTGATTCATTAGGCGGCTTAGAAAGCTCTTCCTCTCGACTTTTCCGCTTTTATTCCCCATTGCCGGGGCTCATCATCAGCAGAGTGGGGAAAAAGGAAAAGTGAACGATTGAATGACTCTTGTGGGGTCATTTTGGGTCTTTAATCAGAGCAAATTAATAAGCACACATGGCACCATAGCACATAGCATCCACCCCTGCCCCTCATTTTGATTAATTAAACTTTGCTTGTGGTGACTAATTTCCCTCGCTGGTGGAAAATTCATTTCTTTTTTTTATTTGCGGCGGCCTATAGTACTCTAATAGTAAATTTCTCGCCCTCATGCCATCGCATTAAATGCCAATAAATTCTATAAATTAAGAATGGTATTGCTACCAGCATTATCCGAGTATTTCTCATTTAAGAACTGTTGACTTTTCGGTGGACAATTAAGTGTGGAAAGTGTGGAAATTCTCCAGGGGCAGAGGCAGCGACAGAAGCAGACTGGCCCATAAGTAAATAAGTGCAAAATTGCTGACGTTTAGGTAGCCGACAAAACAGGAATCTCAAATATAAAAGGACAATTTCATATCCGAAAACCCAAACTGATATATACATATATATATATATATACATTTGTATTTTCCACCCTTCGGAAAAACAGCTGCAAGCACAGTTATTTGACACGCGACCAAACACAACACCAATATGCAGCCATCCAAAAGTATCTACAAAGTTGCAAGGATACGGATACACACGCTGTTAACCCCTGATGTGATCCAAAATCCGAATCCGAATCCGAATCCGAAGCCACCCCAATCAATGTGAATGAAATGAATTCCGCTTCTCTTTTGTTGGTTTTCTTTTTGGTTTTTATTTTTGTGTGTGGTCAGCATGGGAAATGGAGGGAGTGAATGAACGACAGACTGATGGCTGACCAAATGTTATCTCATTTATCTATCAATAAAGTTCAGATATTAAATGCTTTAAAACAAGAGTTTAAGTTTAGTAGAGTATCGATGGGATTATTTTTAACGTTACTATAAAGTAAATTATAAAATATATACCCCTTAAAGCTGAAAATTAATTAATCTTGTTATAAAACTATCGAAAAATCCTTAAAAGCCACTCAGCTACATGAAACAACGCAAAAAATAAAACTGTTAACCAACTTTATCAATTAATTAAACCACTTTTTAACCCACTAAAAAGTATAAACTTTTCCACAATCAATCAATCAAACAAATTCCCCCCCTTTCCTCTCACACGGCGGAAAAGTGTGCCTGTGTGTGCGGAAAATTCAAAGGAAGTGAGGCAAAGCTGGCGCAAAACTTTGAAACCAAAAGGCTGACGGAGTGAAAATATATAAAAAAAAAAAAAAAAAAGAGGGGCAGCCGGCACAGCACATTTTCCACTGGGAGTTGCTGTCAGGTTTCCGGACCACAGACGAGAGAAGTTCAATGCTCCTCCGGTGGCGGTGGCAACAACTTCACTCCATTCGCCGCGGCAACATAATGCAATTTATGAAACGGGAGCCCGCCGCCGACTCAACACAACTTGCCCCACCATTTCCACAATTTAACCACATTTAAAGCGGGCCAACTAACGCACTAAACGGAAGTTTTTAGGCCCGCATTCAGCTGTTGGGTTAAGCTAAGAAAAAAAAGGAGTTGCAGTTGAAGAATATCTTGAAGAAAATGTGTTAAATCCTTGCATATATTCATCAAACTAATGGATTTCCAAGGTATTCCCCAAGGTCAAGGAAAAGCGAAGGAAGGATGAGAAACAGTAAGCTAAGGCACTCGCAAGATGTGCAATCTTCATTTAGATATAAAGATACTTTTATAGCTACATTTCGAACGTTAACAAATATGAACCTTAGTAAAAGAAGAACTGATCGTTAAAAAGTCATATCAATTATTAGAAAAACTTTTCTATTTATTTAAAAACTAAGCCTAGAATGTGGGTCACCAAAAAGTAACCTCCCATCTATCACAGTTATTTACTTTTAAGAAAATCTTACACGTTAGCAGTTAGCCAGCCACGCCTTAACTATTATTAAATAACTTTGCAAACATCAATTGTACAACTCAATTTCCCACCAAAACCGAAGAATGAAAACGAAAAAAAAGAGAGACGAAAAGAGAGGCTCAAACAAACAAATGGGGAAAAAAAACGCGGAAAGCTTGTCAGACACATTTTTTCTCACTGGGTGTGTCCGATAATATATAATACTATATACCTACATACCTGACAAAAATATATATAAGCTTGAATTGGCTTTGAGTCACCAACCATTTGGCTCTGGGAAAAAAGCTCCCTAAACCGACAAAGCTTTATTTGTTATTTAGTTTTTGAGTCAGGAAAGCAAATAAAATGACAACATCGATCAGATAAAATGCCGGCAGTAAGGATTAAAACTCGATCGGACCTGGAGATCTCAATAAAAAAATATACAAACAAAATAAAGATAATAACCGCTTTTATTGTGCTGACTTTTTAAGTGCAGCTCGTTGATTGATCAATCAAATGGAAGGCAGCGACTGGCAAAGAGTTCAATAATCTGTAATCATTCGATAATTTTATTCGCTTATTGCAAATACAGTAAAGCTGAAAGTAGTTAACCTATTTAAAAATAGTTAATAGTTAGTTAATAATAGCTAATAGAAAGGGAATTAAGATGCCTCTCCAATCGATAGCTAATTAGCTAATAAGCTAATGTGATTATATAAAAAACTATTTAAATTTATTACAAAGAATATCTTGAAGATCGTTTCAAATTTGTAGCCTAACAAACTATTCATTTTTCTCAGTTTAATTAACCAAAAGCCATGCCCCTTTTTCTATGCTTGCACACATTTAACCCAAATGACAAGAGGCCCAAGTAGCCCCATTGGGCAAAATAGGGAAAAAGGAAAATGGGGGAAAAGAAGTTGGAGGTGACTGCACAAGAACTAAAACATAGCGAAAAGCTAATGCAAATTGCAGTCGCCACTCCTGTCTGTCGGTCGGTCGGTCGGTTGGTCTGTCTCCGTTTCTTCTTTTTTTTTTTCGTCTGTATGCAACTGTGCCACATGGGGTTTTTCTCTGCCGTCTTTTCCCCGCTTTCCACCCGATTTCCCAACCCGAAAACACTTAAAAGTGCAATGCACTTTCGCAGCCGGCAGAGCAACGGTACTGGCACCTAGAGCAGCCGCAAAAACGGATGATAAAACAAGCGAAACTAACAAATGCACTTTGCGAAAAATATAACAAAAACTATCTTTATACATTGCTTCCTTATATATCCCCCTTTTAACTTTCAAAGTAAATAAATATTAACATGAAAGAGATTTCTATAGATCAGTTTAGCTGAAAAATCAAATGTAAAAATATCAAAAATATTTGTTTAATCGTAAAAAGTTTGTATATTTTTTCTCAGTTTGTAGCAAAAGCAAGGCAAGGCAAAAAAAAAAAGATAAATAAAAGTAAAACAACAGACATCTAAGCGTGATAACCGCGAAAACCGCGAACCGGCATCGAGTCCCCTTAACCCTTAAGAACAGCACAACATACCTCAAACGCCTTAACCCTTATATTTGCAAACAGAGTGTAGAAACAAAAGAACATGTGCATTTTTGGTGATTAATCAAATCTCAAAGGAAGTTGAGAGTATAAATAAGAATTTAAACAAAACAAAGTACAAGGGTATATAGATAGGGATTTCACAGCAATAAGATACATTTATATATCATAATAACTATAGTTACAAACTAAAATAAACTAAGTAACTATTCGTTATCAAAAATATTAAAAATATGTTATTAAAACAAGACCAAAAAAAGCTCCTTTCAAAAATGTTTATCATAAAAGAGTAGAAACTACATTAGCATTGAGTTGTGGTTACAAATTTTGTAGAAAAAAATCTAATCTCTTTCCCTCATAGATGGGACTTATAAACATTTAAGCTGTTTTGATTAACAAATCGTGGATTATTTATCCGCAGATTTAGCACCACATCGAGGTAAATCGGAGAGGAAATGGAGTGCTGTTCCCCTGAACGAGAAGAGTGAGTGGAAACGAGTCAAGAAGCGGGCCAAATTGAAGGCAATGAATGATGACATCAGCACTGTGTGTGTTTTTGTGTGTATTTTGTTTGTTTGTGGAGTAGCAGAAAAAAAAAACAGAGTTTCCTGGCTTTTACTATTGATTTTTGGTTTGCAAAAAAAAAGCACAGAAAGGATTTTTTTTTTTCGGCCTGCGGTTTGTGACATGCGACATGCAACATCAAAAATGACATCATAAAAGGATTTTTTCGTGGACAACGAAATTGGATTAAAAACTGGTCGAAGAAAGAAACAGAAAGAGAGACAGAGAGAGAGAGAGAAGTAAGTTAAAGAGCGACAACGCCGAATGAAAATGACGCAATCGCCAGCTGTTCAAGAGATGAAAGACTAAAAATGAGATCCGAGAAGTCCACATGGTAAAGCTCTGAAAAAGATACAGATCGGGGCGATGATATCAATATATAACCGACACACCAACACACACCCACTGTATCTTTTGCTTTTCGAAAGCATAAATTTATGGATATATATGTATATGTTTGTATTTGTATATATATTTATCCACTTGGAACGCGTACATTTTCCTTTTGTATTTGCTTATTCCATCTCCGAAAATTCCCCCAAACTTTTCGAGGCGTTCCATTTTAATTATAACAAATGCCCGGCAATTGCAGGCCGAAAATGAAAATATCAACATAAATCTCTCGTAAAATTGCGCGGTATGGGAGAGGTCGTATAATAATATCGATGATATCATATATATATATATTCTCATATAACGTACATATAGTCAGTAGCCGTCAGAAGAGACAGAACCAATAAAGAACGACAATGTGTGAATCAAAAATTGATCGACTCTATGTGTGATAACACGAAAATTACAAAAGCCACTGGATAATTGATTGGAAATGAAAATAAAGTTCCCTCGTTGCGTTCAAGAACAATTCAATAACGAGGGAAATCACCCAAGATCAGTGTCAATCATAGAAAATAAAATATATTCAAGGTTTTAGAGTCTAGATATGAAAAATACTTCAAAGAACCTATATAGAATGTAAAATGTGATATATTTCTGTAATATTTGGGGACTAAAAATGAACATTGGATAGCAAAACAGGAACAAATAAATGGCTATGATTACCTATCGATAAGTTTTTTCAATTTCTCTGGAAATTCCAAACCCTTTCTGTTATCGTAGATAAATTTGCAAATTTATTTCCCCGCACAGAGCGATAGAGAGCGGAAAATCTTTAGAGAATTGACAATAACAAATAGTCGAAGCATGACCAAAAACAAAAAAATAACGATGCTTTGTATATACTCAAGTGGCCCTGAGTGTGATTCTCCATTTCAGTACCTCCTCAATTAATGAACTGCTTTTTTTTTAGAGGTTATCCTCCATTGATAAAGATACGACATTAGGTTTTTCTAATTCAAAAATATATTAAATAAAAAATATAAGAGTTCTACCAAATGAATAAAAAACATATACATGGAATGCTTGCGGTTAAAGGCTACTATAAATTAGCATGCAAAATATATATATAATTTGCGATTGCATATCAGCAACTAGCCTTCGAATTAGACTAACTTTATTTTTAAATTACTTTTGTGTCTGTTCTTTTTTGCTTCTTTCTGTTCACTGTGTTAGATTTTTTTATATCTTAATAATTTTGAAAAATTAAAATATCTTCAGCCTGAAATCCCCATTTAAATGGCCAACAAGGGCATTCAATAACCAACTGTCGGGCTTATTTTATATGCTGCTTCAGTTGGCGTAGTTTCTTTTATTCCTTTATTTATTTATTATTATTATTCTGCTTTTTTGGGTCGATTCGGGGCAGGGGCACTGCTGTCGACGACGTTGCTGGGGCGGAACGAACTACCATATATATTCACTATTCACAACGATGACGTCGTCGCGATGACCGCATGGTCAAAAACAACACCAACAAAAATAGCGGCCAGAAGCTGAAACAACACATCTACAACCGAAAACTTGCTCAATTTAAATAAATATATTTAAGCTACAGTTTCGAGCTTTTTGCATTTGTAATATTAACTTTCGAACTAAATATATTTCTCTAAAATAAAATGAAATATTTTGTTAGTTCTAAAACAAAAAATATAAAGACTCAAAACTAGCTTTAAATAGGATTTTATGAATCAAAAATATTTTTAGCTCTTAAAAGCTAGATTTGAAATTCAAATACTTCAATTGGAAAACTCGTTATAACCGTTTTCCAGATGTCTGATCGATAGAATTTAGAGAGAAATCGTTTGGAATATAGAAAATACGTGTGAAAATACAAGAAGAGCGCCAAAGAGACGGCGAACAAGGGAGAGGGAATATGAAAAAAGAGCTCAAAGTGATCTCTTGAAGCTGCCCCACCTTACACACACACACACACACATACATCACATATACAAAGTCACACGCATACATGTAGCCGTAATTCGCGCTCATTGTCTGCGCTCTTCTTCTTCAACATCATCATCATCTTTTCTAGCTGCTAGAAAACCTGTTTTAAAGCCACTAAAAAGTAAAAATAAAAACGCAGTCTCTGTGACTTAAGATTATGCCCTTGGACGAAAACTTAAAAACATAATGCTCACCTTTATGTTATAGTAGCCAGTTAGCAACAACAACAACAGACAATAAGTCAGGATTCTGCCAAAAAAGCGCTCAAGAACCAAAAACCAAAACCAACAAGACCAAAAACCCAAAACTCAGGTAAAAGAGAGATGGCAAAGAGAGAGAGATAAAGAGCGAAAGAGACACTCAAAACTCGATTACGAAGTTTTGGCTTCGTGGTAAATACATACATACATACATACATACATACAACTACAATAAAAACAACACACAGCTTTAATTTTGGAGTTGTTGAGCGCTTTTTTGCTTTTTGGTTATTGTACAGTTAATATCGCCTATTGTTATTGTTGTTTTGGCTTTTGGCGTCCTCCCGAAATTCTCTCCTTCTCCTTTTTTGTTGTCATCGTGTGCTTCGCAAGTTTTGCATTTTAATTGCATTCGCCATTCATTTGAATGTTAAAAAAAAAAAAATAACTGTTTAACTTTTTGGGTGCGGCACAGTGTGCAATAAAAAACAATACAAAAAAATGGTAGAAACAAATTTGTTATGGTTTTTATTTCTTTTTTTGTTGGCAATTTATGTCCGTGTGCCAGCTGCCAATTTTAAACAATTCCCAGACAAGCACACCCGCACACTAACACACACACGAACGCACACTATAAAAAAAATAACGGGAGAGCCAAAAACTAATTCATATATATATATATGTTATGCGAAGTAAATAAGACAATTTTCTACACGGCGTCAGTTTTTCGTTTTTTTCTTTTTGTCTTTTTTACTACTTTATTTTCAATTCCCGGCGCTCACTAACACCGGCGCACACATACACTCGCAACACACAAAAGAACGCGCGAATTGTCAGAATGGAATAATATTAAATGCTTAGATATCCAAATAACGATATATATTCGGTCGAAATCCGAATATGTACCGCGGTATTTTGGCGTGGTTTATAAAATGAACTCGTTTAGATGGACGTACACAACCAGCAGCGCGAATATGTACTTTTCGAATGCAATGGCATAGAGGAACAACCAGGCAAAGACTACTTGCCGAAGCAGGTTCGAAGCCAGGTTCACCACATCCAACATGTGCGAGGAAACGGCAACTGTGGTGAGATTTCTAGCGTACAGTATCAGTACTGTGCGAGTGAGTGGTGCAGAAGTATTAAATTTCCGATTACTCACCACGGTCGCCGATAACACAAGAGACAGTGTTACCACAAGGCAAAACTGAATTTTCAATACAATATTTATGGCTATACTAGTCTATGGTCACACCGAGAGGTTAAAAACGGTTAAATTAATCGAAATTGTAAATCCATATTGTTGTTATTTGTTTAGTTAGTACAAAATATTAGGAATTAGGAGACTCGAAATTTTGCACTTTTCATAAGGGGTAACATCATTAAAGTTTGCGAAAAATTACAAATTTTTTTACCTTTTAAACTGTAAATGCAGATCTCTTAAGAAATTAAATACAAGCTCTACGAGGTAATTCATTTCATATTTTGGCCATTATTGGCTAAGTTATTAGCAAAACATTGTTGAATATAATACGAAAACGCCGCCAAGAGAATACTTGAACCACTGTGTTATCAATGACACGAACCGCTTAACTAAAAATAAATCGGTATTTTAGGTGACTTTTAGAAATCAACGGAGACTTACTTTAATAACACTCAGACATTTTAAAGAATACTTATTTCGAAGTATTTTTTTAAATAATTAGTTAATAGTAAAATTCCGTTGAATTCTTCGACGATTGCCAATCTTAAAATGTAATTAAATGTATGTTAACACGCCACCTGTCGGCCTTTTCTATGCTTTTACACAAAACTTACATTTTTATTACCAAAAAGTTTTAAATTATAAAAATATGAATTGGAAGAAATGGGTTAATGAAAATGCCTATCAATGGAAATTGTATCATAATGAACAAATATTTTGGTTTTGCTTTTGTTTATTCCAACATATTTATTTAATTGGTATTATTGTTTCAAGTATTACACAATATTGATGCCTTTTCTCTTACGTTTTCAATTAATTTATAATTATTATTATAATTATTATAACTAAATATCGATCACATTTCCTTTCAGAACGTCTCTCATTCTCATCGTTTTAATCCCTGTTCACTTTTTGTTGCAGAACCTGCAAAAACTCCTGCAATTCACTTCCCATCGTCCTAACTAATTTGCAATAATAAATATCGTTTTTCCTTTCGCGCATTAATTATTGCTTTTCTTTTTCATCGCTCGGGGTCTGCGGGGAAATGGAAAAGGGACAATGAGATAATTAAAATTAAAACTAAAAAATTTAAAAAAAAAAAAAACAAACAAACATACACAAAATCGAAAGCGAGACTTGCAAAAATCAAATCTGCGCTAATACTACATAATTGGTTGATATATAAGTGTAAATTAAGGATTTAATTAGGTTCTAGCTTACGACTACAACTTGCAATTATTATTTGGCTGATTAAGGTTAACCAGAGGGAAAGAATCAAGAACCAAAGCGGGAGGAAACAATTTGCGTTGCGTAAATGTTCATTTAGTTATTCTTCGTCTTCTTTCCTTTTCTCCCTATACAATGTATATATTTCTTTAAATGTGTATAATATTGTCCTAAAAGCCTTAAAAAATATGACGCAGCAGGCCTGCAAATCTACATATGCCTATATATATATCTATATATATAGCATGTACATTTATATATATATCATAATCGCACACATAATTTCTTGATAGAGCAAAAGGAACACAAGCAAAAGCCATGTGAAGAAGGACACAAATGTAAAATGATATATCATCTCTCTCTCTTAATATCTCTCGCCTCGACCATTCGACATGCATCATTAGAAATTAGTTAGTTTTTATATTGGTTTCCGTTTCCGATTCCGTTTGGTGTTGGGAGGTTTTTTCTTAGGGGGGGTTTTTAGGGTGGCTGGAGGCTATACGTACAATTTCTATGTTTTCTATATATTTGTTTTAGGTACATAACAGTTCTTTATATTGTGTGTTGGTGTTTTGTGGTGTGTGGGCTGCCTTGTTTATCGTTCTACGTTTTAATCCGTATTCCCTATCTCCTTAGCTACTCTAGTTAGGTGCGTTGAGTGTCTGCATTCCGGAACCATATTGCATGCCCACCGACATGGTAAATAGCCACGCCACAGCCAGCAGACTGCTGCCCAGCAGATCGCCCAAGGCCGTCAGGTAGGGTATGGCCGAGTTATCCGGATCGATCTTCCATTTCCACATCGCGTGCACAATAATGTGGGCAATATACAGCAGCAGCATCACCTAAAACGATCACAAGATATTAGTAATTAATAATATTTATTATAATTTTCGGAAATAATTCAACTCCAAACTCACCTGCACTAAACTGGCTGTTAGATAGGAAAGTACAAACACCCAGGTGACCGTTGAGGTGCTATAGTTTATATAGTCAGCAGCGAAGATGAACAGAACATTGCCGGGAATGGACATGGCAATAAGTATCCTCGCTGTCTTCGCATAGGGAACTGTTAACCAAACAAAAAGTACAAATTAAAATCAAGTTAATAATTCAAATTTGTTTAAGAATTACCTCCTTTGAAGAGCGCCCGCCAGGGCCACTCGAAGATCTGAGTGTGCGGTGGTATAATCCCGATAATTGAGCTCTGGTGCAGCATTGTGGATATCTTGCTGGCCTGCACCGATACCAGATTGCCGCCAATACCGTTGATGATCGGTTGAAATACAACGAACCCATTAAACACCTCGACAGCGGCATCCAAGACAAGGCCACCCAGACTGCAATAAGTTCAGAGGTTGATTAATAATCAGTTTGGTAAGCAAATTAATCTTAGATCTATTTAGAATCTGTTGATGCATTTCTAAACACATTCACTCATTTGATTCCGAATCGAATGTTTGTCTTAATTGAAGTTTGTTTGTCTCTTTAAATTCTATTTGTCGCTAAATCCCTAAGTCATGGCAAATAATTAAGCCCGGGAATTTAAATCCTATTGCTGATTCTAATTATAAACGCGCTTGACCCCCGGCCAAACACGAGTCAGGGACATCCGTGCGAATGTTTTCCATGGTCTTTAAGCTCTTAGCTACTTATCCCCTCGGAATTATATAAATAGCGTTTAGATAGAATCTGACATGGCTGGACATGATTTGGCAGTAAATTGAAAGCGTTGATATATCTATATATAGGGGGCAACTTGACGATTTTTTTCCTGCTTATCATGGCCCCAATTTTTGTCGACTCGAGGGTCCATCATTCAGCAGTCAATCCGATCGAGAAACAGATTTCAGAGTGCGCAGTACGTACCCACTTATACAGAGGGCTGAGAGGACGGGTACCCATCCGCTCTTTAGCACCGGTCGCGTGTACTCGTTCCTCAGCACGATCATCACCCACATGGGCAAGAGCACTAGGTAGCAAGTGACCACGATGAATGTGATCCACAGGTGCGTTTCTGTTTGGATGAAACATAATTATTATATGAAAAACATTAAAAATAAACACACACAGAACTTACTGATATGATCGTAGAGCAGCGAGGCTATAAAGGACAGTAAACTGATCGACACTACATCACCGATGGAGGCGGCTAGCGGCGTGGCCAAGTTATCCGGATTGAGGCGATACTTCTGCGAGAACAGGATTACAGCCACCAAAACAAAGTCTGCCAAAAAGAACGGGGAGTCGTTAATGCGATTTTTATATAATTGGAAGAGTTATAGAGATCTTACCCAGCACAAAGCACGAGGAGGTGGCCGTGAACATCGCCGAAGCAGTTAGCAGCATCATGTTCTCGAAATAGAACTCCCCAGTCATCGCTGCACCAACGCTTACCGCAAACATGGCCACCAGAAAGGAGGCCACCGTCGCCTGGACCTGCACCAGTGCTATATTCCCCACTATCATTCGTATCACGCCCTGTCGACTGGTCATGTTGCCCAGATTTACTTGCGTGGATAACCGCGAAGCCAGGCACATGTCCAGGTTGCCCTTCAAGCCCAATAGCGCCGGCACCAGGATGAACAGCTCACTCACATTCTTGAAAACATACCATTTCTAAGGGGGAATAAGGTTTAATAAGATTTAATATATTTTAAGATTATAACAATCTACCTATTATCTAACTAAGCTACAGCTTTTGGCTAACTATTGTTAACAAATTAGTGTTTTGCTAATGATTTTATTCATTTTTTTTTGCTGCATATACATCCTCTTGGCCAGAGTGCATTGAATATATATATGACAGCTTTTATAGCCCATCATAAATCCCCTCCTTAATCCCCACAAACCCTCCTGATTTATCCAATATTTTCCATTCATTTCGGGCATTGGCCGCCTGTAACTGGCTGGGGCTCCAGTTTGGCCCAGAACTTTTACCATCAATTAGCACGCAAATTAAACATTTACTATCTAGCTAACACATATGTACGGCCATAAATAACGAAAATTGTGCCAATTCACCGAGTACACAAATCGGGAATAAAGGTTTAAATATAGCATTTGCTCTGTCTGGTTGTTTGTTTTGATTGAGTGGCTCTTAAGATCTCTTGAAACTCAAACAGATTTCGATTATGAAAGTGCTATTAATAATTTCTAACTTTATCACCTGCTATTGCCCAGGATTATTTATGAAGCTAAGCCATTGAGCTTATCTCTATAATTGTAATAATTTATTCAACGAGTCTTATCACAAAGTGACATATGTTTACAAAAAAGCTAAGAGCGTCATAGTGCTTAATAATAAATTGTATCTATTAGGAATTATATTTATTGCGAAAATGTTTTCAGTTAACCTAGAAATGGGTTTATTATTTAGCCGCTTGGAATTTTCCCACACCAACAGCAAAACAGAAAACAAAAAAGAGCCTGCAATTAACTATTTTATTTAGTTAGTGCCTGACTTAGTGCAAATCTTATTGTTAATAATAGGCCATCTAACTGAGCTCCGGCAATTACAAATTTTTACAATATAATTTGCTGTAATTTACGCTGTCGTTCCTATTTGATTTTGGTTAGACTCATTGCACCTCTACAAAGTCAATGGAAATTAGATAAAACCCCCCTCAAATATTCTAATAGATAGTGGAAAATGTTGAAAATGTTTTCTTTAACTCACCTCAACGCGTCCCAGCACAATGCCAGCTCCGATGGTGCCAATGCCGGCAAGGAAGAACGGTATGGAAACCTGCAGCAGGATTGTCGTCCATTTCTCCTGTTTGATTCCTGGTCTATTGAGCGCCAACTTCTCCTCGGAACTGCCATTGATACCGGCAATGCTGGAGGCATCAGCTGCCACCAGGGCACCTGAACCGATACCACCATTGCCACTACCGCCTCCACCTGCGCCTCCACCACCGCCAGCGCCGCCGCCGCTCGCCGCTCCAGGATCCGGTTCGGAGGATGCTATGGACGTCGTGATGATTGAGCTTAGTGAACCGGTTGTCGAATGTGGTAGGCCCGACAATTTCTCATTGTCGGGATCTGGTTAATTTTTTGGTTTTTTGTTTTTTTTTTGTGGGGTAAAAAGAAACGAAAGAAATGGGTTGCAAGATGCGGGTTAGTTTTGTTTAATTTGCTTTGGGGAAGGGGGATCAAGGCAAAGATCAAGTGTTCCAAGTGGCTAGCCAGATTAGGTGCTCGGGTCTCTCTCTCATACATGGGTAGGTACGGTACTATATCTAAGTATTACATTATATACATGCATTATAGTCTAAATTGCTGGAGTGTGCGTGTGGGGCATGCATCTAAATTTAGCAGCATTATGCAATTAGCAAGGCAATTAATTAACATCGCTATAAATTATACATCTACATATACATATACACTCATGGACAAAATAATAGGTGTGAATTTTTTTTTTTGAGGATATCGATTTTAATTGATATAAACATAACATATTATGGGAAAACTATACTTTTTTATTATGGTTACACTGTTACGATCAATTTTTGGTGAATTCCCGGGAGTCAGAAGCTTTCTGAAGAAAATTGGGGATATTTTATTGCTCAGACTGCAAATTCGCCTGGACAATAAAATAGGTGTGTCGAGCAAAACTTTAATCTAAAGCTAATTAGGATAATTGTTTGGTTGCAGAAAGTAAGGTATTACGATAATCTAACTAAATCAGGAATTAACAATCACTAAAATTGCATTAGATGGGCCGTGGGAGACATTGCAGTGCGGAAGAGAGGAAGCTCATTCGACGACTCCGAGATGAAGGAAAAACATATAAATCGATTGCTGTTTTAATGAAACGATCTCAGAATTTTGTAACCAATGCGTTAAAACCGAAAAAAGTAGGTGAAACTCGGGGAGCACCCAGAAAAACATCATCTAGGGCCGATAATCGCATGGTTCAGTTGGTTAAAGGAGACCCGTTCAAGTCTTCCAGGAGGATTTCCAACGAAATTGGAAATTTTGTGTCATCACGGACCGTTCGGCGACGTTTGGCAATGGCAAACCTACCAGGTAGGATTGCCCGCAAAGATCCTTTGCTTCGGCCGAAAAATTAAAAGATGGGGAAACAATTTGCTCTAGATCGTAAAGCCTGGTCAGGACCGGAGGGTGAGAAAAAATGGCATAACATTCTCTGGAGTGACGAAACCAAAATAAATTTATTTGGAAATGATGCTAAAAGGAATGTTCACCGTCCGAAAGGCAAAGAATTTGATCCCAAGTACACCTGTAAGACTGTAAAACATGGAGGTGGTAGCCTAATGGTATGGGGATGCTTTTCATGGAATGGTGTTGGTCCGATTCATCGCATTGATGGAATAATGGACAGATTCGTATACAGAGACTTATTGGAGACAGTGATGCTGCCATATGCTGAGGATAATATGCCAATTTTATGGAAGTTCCAGCAGGATAACGACCCAAAACACGCCTCTCTACTAGTCAGGGAGTGGTTTCGTGAGCAAAATGTGGATGTTCTGGAATGGCCGAGTCAATCCCCTGACCTTAATCCCATCGAAAATCTCTGGGGTGAACTCAAAAGAGAGGTAGGAAGGTCCTCGTGTCAAAATAAAAACCAACTTTGGGATATTGTCCAAAAAGCATGGTACTCCATCCCAATTGGCACTTGTCGCAAGCTGATATCATCCATGCCAAGACGAATGGAGAAAGTTCTCAAAAATAATGGAGAGTATACCGGCTACTAACTGCTACATACTCAACTTAATGTACAAAAAGATCAAAAATAGTGAAATATCCATTTAGTTTAAACGTTTAGTTCCTTACACCTATTATTGTGTCCAGCCAAAAATGTCCAATTTAGGAAAAAATCTACTTCTGTTGTTAATGATAAGGTTTATAGTATTGTTTCTTTTTTTCTTTTAAAGACAATTAATATACGTTTTAAAAAAAATTTGTTTTGAGCTGATTGGAGAAAGCATGACTTAGAAATAAAAAGTTAAAAATGAAAAATAAAACACACCTATTATTTTGTCCATAAGTGTACATATATGCATGTGGCTCTGATTTTCTGTATTTTATTCATTTCAATTTTGTTTTTCTTTCTTTTTTTGGCAGTCTCCAGGTGGAGGCTTCTTCAAGCAAAAAACGAAAAAAAAAAAAGAAAAGAAAAAATAACTCGTTTGATTAGAATTCTCGTATATTTATTTGCGTTTTCGGTTTCTGTGTCGACTCGTAGCCAAGTTCGAATCGCTCGTCCATAAACAAATTCGCGAGCCGCCGAGACAGCAACAATTAAACATCACAAAAATAACAATTAAGAATGTCATAATTCAAGTTCCGAGTGGCTAAAGACGATTTGACACCCCTTCATTGTTCGCTTTAAATTATATTATTTGAAATTAGGAAAAAAGTGATAGAATAATCTTTGAAACTTGAAACATTTGTGGCAGTCAAAGGTTTCCATATTCAAAATGAAGTATGAGCAGATTTTACAAGCTTTCAGACTTGCGAAATTTAATGTTTTAAAAAATTAAAGTTAAGTAACTTATGTTATTCTATAAAATGGTTATATTTTTTAATCTTTACTTTAATGAGATAAAATAAGATATATTTTTAGATATTTAAAACAATTTATAGAAACTCTCTTTCCTTTAAGGACTGTAGGATTTTTTGATAAGCGAATTTTTCTTGATAGACAAAGTTTAAAATTCTTAAATTTCTCAGCGAATATTCCATTTATTTATAGATTTAAATTATTTTAAATTGAAAAATCATATTTTTCTCTATAGTCTAAGTTGGTATAAGCCAATAAATCATATATTTTTGGTTTCCGAAGGATGGAATTATCTTCTTAAGTACCTAAAACCGCAATTTCAAACAAGTTAATCAAGGAAATAACCCCTTGCCTTCTTCAGAACCCCACATACCCCATATAGACTTAAGTTAAGGATCAGACTCAGACGAGACGATATAATAGGCAGTAGCTTGGCATCGAGATAAAGCCAGAGGTGAGGCGGAGAGCATGCATGATAATTAGTAAACATTCTGTGTGTTTAACCGCAAATAGTCGAGAGACATACACAAGCCAGAGCGATTATTGCTCGGAAATAATGTAATATAAAAGGAATATAAAGTATATGGATATATGGATATATGGATATATGGATATGGATATCAAAGGTAAATATGTTGTAAAATGAAAAGGGAAACGAGTCTGGGCGTTTAAATATAAATATTTGCATATCAAATGTAAATACAAAGAAGATATTAAGATAAACTCAGCGACAGAGCAAGAGGGAGAAAGATATATAGAGATAGATAGATAGATAGAGAGAGAGAGAGATAGAGCGCAAAGAAATCAAGGAAAGGATCAACGATAATACATATTAATGGTGTTTCTTTAGTGTTTAGTGTGACCAAAACCTCATAATTCCTCGAAAAAGACCTAACTAAACGAGAGCCACTGCTTGGATGTTGTTTAAGTTTTGGAAGTTTGGTTTCCCACTTTATTGATCTCATCACAAAATGGGGTTTTTTGTTGTTGTAGCTGTTGTTGTTGTTGTATACTTTCACTCACCGTTTCCATTGAAAATGGTAAACAATCTGTATTTATCATCCGTGGCCACATCTAGCGGTGTTGTTGTTGTCAATGTGGACAACTGTTGTTGGTATATTGGTGGTGTGGCATATGCAGATGGTGGCGTTGTTGATGCTGTGTTGTTGTTGTTGTTATTGTTGTTGTTCTTATTATTTGTATTGTTGTTGTTATTGTTATTGAAGAGGCCAATGTTAATGGTAGTGGGCGGGGGATCATCGCCAGCATTATCACTGATCGCTTGCGGATTAACGTAGCCCGATAAACGACGGACATTCAATGGCGTCAGGCGGTGTTTCAGCTCATTTTGTGTGGTTTTTGTGGAAGGTGTTGGTGTGGATGGTGTTGTTGCTGTTCCTCTTGTTGTTGTAGATGGTGATGATGGTGTGGATGATGCTGCTGCTGCTGCTGCTGCTGTTGGTTGGCTGGGATTGTGCGGCAAGTTTGTTGTCTGTTCGTTGGGCAGCGACATTTTAGCATTGGTTTTGTGTATTGTCCGTTCGTCGTGTCGTGTCGTGTCGGTGTGTGTACTTAAGAGTCGGTGTTGGTGTAGAGCAGCCCCAAAAACTTGGCGTGCATGCGTGTGTGTCGGTACGTGCGCGGGGGCCTTTTCTCAAGCGAGTATTCGCAACTGAAACTCATCGACTAAACTATAAATTTAAACTAAATCCTGAGTGTCTAAGCTTTCAAACTAAGTATTTGATTTAAAAACAACGCAAAAGTTTAACGCTCAACACAAATCATAAACTGTGCTCTAATAAATATTATTTTTTTTTTTTTTTTAAGGATTTACTTGTCTATGGGCTTTGCATACTTTTTGTTTTGGTTTTTTCGCTTTTTCTTGTTTTATTTTTCAACCTATGACTAAACACAAAAAAGATATCACAAAATTGTTTTATTTTTAGATAAATAATTTAATAAGTTAAGAATTATGGAAAGGGCATTGATTGCTTTTCAGTATTACCGTAGGCTTACGTTTTTCTTTTTTTATATGTTTTTAAGTTTTTAGTTTTGGGAATGAATGAAGAATATAAATCGGAACAAGAATTGAAAGAATCTGGAGAGAATCGTATGGTTTACATTGTATTGAAAATGTGAGGAATGTTGGGCCGCCGTGTGTCTGTCGCAGGGTGTGTGCGTCGTAACGTCCTTGGTGTTTGGGGGCCAGGTTGTACTGGTTAGTAGTAGTAGTAGTTGTAGTGAGAGGTAGTAGGAAGTAGGTAAAAGGACTGAGGCTGAGGCTGAGGTTGAGGTTGAGAGGTTGAGCTTAGTCACCGGACCGTTGATATGGCTGCAAGGCAACAACAACAACGCATTTGGTTTAATTCTTTGTTTAATAATTACTAAATAGATTGGCTGGAACTTGGAATCAATGTAAATCAAGAAAAGCAACTTAAGATCGGGTCACAAAAACAACTACAAAAGCGGCAACAATTTGTTTTCCATTTCATTTTGGGGAATCAGTTACTTTTCTGGTTAATAATATTAACTTTTGAAAACTTTCCAAAAGGGAATTAATAATTAATATCTCAAATAATATCAAGGATATGTTATAGGTATGGACTTTGCTGTATTAGGAACTGTTTTCCTTTGAATTTTAATGGTTTTACTAGATTAATAGCACTATCTCTGATTCAATTTAAAGACTCAATTAATTTTCCAAAATTAATTTGTGCCACAAAAATATGCCTGACCTGCCCGAACAGTTTGCTTGAGACTTCCGCATGTCTGAGGAACTGAGAGGCCCTGACCAAGTTAATCAAACATTTTTCTTCAGTCTTTTTATTTTTGTATTTTTGAACCTGTTTGTAAACACTTTTTGAGTTTGTCTGTTTTTTGTGTGTCTATGTTTGGCCGAATGAAATGATTTTGGAGAAAATGTGAGCCCCAAAAGCAAACCAGTTAAAGGAGTAAACTAAAATGAATCATTATTCAACTTTTCCCCTCTTTTCAGCTGATCGTGAGACTTTAATCCTTTAATTTATATTCTTTTATGATCTTTATAGACCCTATATTGAGTTGTCACAACATCTCACCATCGCCACTCACACACCTGTCGACGATAAGATTTTAATTTAGCTTGTTTGCCAACGCGTTGACAACAGTTGGACACAATAAATTGCCGCCACTTGGCTTTGACAACTGGAAAGAGTTTATATAGTAAGGAAAGAAAGAAAGAAACCACTGACAGGGAAGATTGAGAGGCGATTCTATATTGAACGATCCACTTGAGACTGCTAAAGGGTTTTTCGCGATTTTGTTTCTTATCGCTGTGAAGTGAAAGCCTTGCTCGCTCGCAATTCAATATCACGTCACAAATCAGGCCCACGCGTCGGCTACGTAACGTAAATGCAGCTCTGGAAAACACCATGTCATTATTATCTTTATCTAGGTGGACTTGAAAGTGTCGCCATAAATCTCCAGGGGGAAGGTCAAGGGGGTGGCGTATAAACTTCAAAGATCACACACAATGGGGAAGTATATATCATTAGGAAATTATATGCCGTTTAATTCTCAAGTTTAGGTTGTTAATTCAAGATTTCCAATACCTTAGTATTACCAATAAATCCTCCATTAAGTCCCAAATTTAATGGAAAGTTCCCCTTTTTTGTCAATTGACCATTGATAAACCTCTTGGTTTTTCCTTACAACAAAATGCCATAAATTCGTATTTCTGGCTAAAAAATCGTTGCTGACTAAGTCATTTCCGATTGCAAACAAAAAAGGAAAGGAAAGAAAAAGAACTGCCTAGCTATACATGTTTTTAAAAATAGTTTTCCAATCCAATCTTATCGATCGTTAGATTGCCGCTGATTACTTAGAAATTGATGAGAAACCACATGAGGGTTTAAGACCAACTCTACGGTTGACTTCCACCACGACGTAGAATCACTCTCCAACGTCACAGCATCAGATAATGTCGGAGACAAACATTCCCTATCAATGGCAGAATAAATATTTAAATTGTCAATTTATTTGTCACCTTCCTGGCAGACGTTAAGCGTTAAGCGTTAAGCCTTCCTGCCCTGTGCTAAACGTTTGTAAATACTGATTCTGATTCACTTTGCTTTATATTCTGGGCTATGGAAAATTTATGGTTTTTGTAAAAGAGAAATATATACACCACTTCTTGGTAAATATCCACAGAACTCTCTTTTTGTATGGCCCAACAATAGGTAATCCAATTTCCAAAATATCTTTAACCCACAAACAGCAGTCAATTGGTTGTAAAACACCAAAACCCAGCCATGGGTTATATACTATAACTCCGATAAGGTCTTATCATAACAAAACTTTGAAAACAACAAAAAAACATCAAAGGAAAATCCCAATAAATGGTAAATAGGGACTTAAACTATATTCACGTTACGTATACGCAGCGTGCCCAGACATAGCTAGTACTTTGATTAGTCACAATTACATATTGTTTTCTGGCTTAAGATTTACCATGCAAAATAGTTGAAATAGCAAATGCAAGTCATTTATAGGTACGAAAAAATAAGTAGAACTCCTAATTAGTCTAGACTGTTTACTTTAAGAAGTTTTTGTAAGAAAAGTAATTAAGACAAAACTGTATTTTACGTGGTGTAATAAGTTATCTTAAGTACTTTAGAAACTGAAAAACAAAAATCCCAAAAAAGATAGAGCTAATTCTGGCATTAAGTATACGCAACGTTTGTCAAGTGGCGACTCATTTTCGCTTTTTTAATAATTTCAAGTTCAAAGTCAAAGGCTTGTGTGGGGCGTGGCGGAGCGGCATTTGAGTACTAAATTGAATTTCTTTTTCTTTTCTTTGTTGATATGCGGAACTGGGGACTCGCAATTATATAGTCAGCGGATCGGTTGGGCATATAAATGCACCTTGATTAGTGGATAAGCCGCCGTCGGCAATCGATCGTCAATAGACTTTTGCCGCCTTTCAGTCTTTCAGTTTTTTACCCCCCATTTTTGTTTTTCTTATCGATGCGAAGGAGCAGCAGCAGCAGCAGCAGCAGCAGCGGCGGCAATTGATTTTCAATGGTTATTGTTTTACGATTCACCCGCCTCTAAATGCCAAAAGTTTTATTTTACTAATTTTCCTAGTTTTTTGATTATTTTCGGTTTCTTTTGGCTTCATTTTTTATTTTTCCCTCTATGTTTTGCAGTTGGCAGACGTTTTGTCTGTGGAATTCCAGTTAGTTATGGAAATTTACGAAATGCCAACCAAATATCAGGTTTTATGCGGAACCAGTTGCACATGTGCATGGCTTGGAATTGAACTAGTTCGAATTTTTATTTTTATTTTTAATTTTTAAATTAAAATTATGTATGTATGTGGTAAACAGAAGGTTATAAATAAAAATTTATTTGGGTTTAACTTTAAATTAAGAAAATTTACACACATATATTTTCAAGTTAGAGTAAAATACATTTTTTTTTAAATAATTTAATTAAGATTTGTGATGATTTTAAGCCATATAAAAACCACATTTAAAAGTAAAGTACATTTCCAAGCCTTAAAAACTAGTTCAGGTTTGCTTAAAGTGGCAGAACGAGCAGCTCATAAAAAAAAAAAAATCAAAAACTAAAAACGTGTTCAGCCTTTTGATATTAAAATAAGAGCAACAAAAACTATAACTACCAGCTGTGTCTTAAAAACACATTTCTAGCACATAAATAAAAATTAAACAAAGCAACAATCATACAAAATTAAACTTAAACTCTTCTTAAACAAATTATAAACCCAAAAGCTAGACCCATAAAACATAATTTCTTTATGGCCCAAAGAGATTTCAACCTATCTTGGCTAGTAAAAAAAATGTTAATAATAGTTTCCAGACAGTAATCTCAGAGCCCACAAGTTAGTTTACGATGAGGCGCCCCCCACTATAAAACAGCCTTACCTAAAGGCTTTACTCAGGGATCTCAAAAGGGTGACATAGTAATGGCCAAAAATAAAACCAAACTGGTCAAGATTCCAAGGTTGAAGTGAAAAGTCTAAGCCAAAACTGATAATAAATCAATTTACTGGCTTTTAATTACTTTTCAATTCTGCACAGCACAGCACAGTGATTAGATTGCAAAAATAAGATTAATGGTATATATATATAGTATATATAATAATAATAAAAAATCACAAGATTTCGGTGAGATTTCTATGATTAGTTGTATAAATGTCCAAGTGGTCATATGCCGTCTGCCGTCTGCCGTATGCCGTATGCCTTATAGCGAACACTTAACCCAAGAATGCCCACAGTCATTGCCGGGCATTAATTAGCAAAACGTGCGCTAAATATTTAATGTGCGATGATGCCTCGGGCTAATTTGTATTAAGTGCGCTTAAAAACTTGCCTTTTGTGTTCACTTCTCTGGCAGATATATGTATAATCTAAGGATATATGTTCTTGTATATATATATACCCGAAGTCGTACACAAACAAACATAAGTTCTATGATTAAATTGTTCCCAGGCTTCATTAAGACCCATTTGGCTTACAAAGTATGATATGCCCCCCTGTGCTGAGTACTTTCGCACTAGGAAATGCATTTTAAATTGGGATTAAATGCCCTAGTTCTTAGGAAGAGCTTAAGGGGTATATGGGTTTGCTTGGGAATACCTTTAAATAAAAGAATATTAATTAAAAAGAAATTGTAATATGTTCTTTGAAAGTTTACTAAAGTAATAAATCAATAATAGAATCATCATAATCTCATCCCCACCATTTCTCTCTTCCACCTAAGCCCCTCAAATAAATCGAATTAAATGCCAACAGCACCGGCCTGTTTAGCATTTGAAAAGCCAAAACGCAATCTTCTTATGGGATTTGGCTACCTATGATACATTTCTCACGATGCGTTGGCAAAAGCAACAAAAACAACAAGAAAACGTGCGACCCACTGGTCGGCTACGTAATATACAAATAATATTTATTCACAATAAAAAATGTGTGCATAAATATGCAAATTGTTCACGTGAACACACACAAGTTGGGCTCATCTACCCGTCGTCTCATTTGCATGCGATGTAAACGAACTCTGCGGCAAAATAAAGAAAATTTAAAATAAATAAAAAAAAAAAAGCAACAATTGAGATGAAAAGGCTTTTCATTTTAGTTCGCAGCGCGGCGAGTGGCGAATCATTTTCTGAGCCCTGGCAACAGATAAAAGCCAAAAGCTAAACAAGTTGCTCATTTTGGGATGATTGTTGCTGTTGTTGTTGTTTTGGTTTTGGTTTTATGGCTTTTATTCTGTTTTATTGTTACGTATGACGCAGGTGAAATCGAATTCGATTCTGGTCACAATAATTTTTGTTAATGAATTGCCTTGTCAGCCAGCCCTAGAGACCCAAAACACAGTATACATTAAGCCCCAGCGAAACAAACAAATTGTTTGCCCATAAAATCGACAATAAAATTATTCAGATAAGTTAAGTTAAGTTAAGTTAAACACCAACCGGCTTGGCTTATATATATTCTTTCTAAGGTGTAAAGTGTAACGAAATCTGATTGAAAAACTGGAACCTCCAGCAAAATTGAAACTGTAGCAAATGTCATTCAACTTGGCAAAAATCAGAAAACAAAAAGCCGAGCTGAGCTGAGAGCAGAATTAAAACAACAGGTGCCTGCAGAATATATATATAGTATCTATAGTATATAGTATCTAACCCAAAACTAATTCGTGGGAAGATCAGCCTGGCCTAGTCGAATGAATCACCAATGGTCTATTATTTATCTGGTCTTTATTATTTGATAAATGCTATCAGCTCAGGTTAATATCAATATCAATTAAGTGTGTGAGTAACTTTGCTGTGAATTTAAATAAATTACGAAATTGAATCATCGCGTTGACAAATCTCCAATCGATAATTATTTTACGGATGAGCAAGCTGGCACGTTTGAAATTGTTTTTTTACTGAAGATATCTGACAGCTGTTTTGCAGAAATTAAATTAAATTTGTTTAGTTAACTCTGCTGTCTTAGGTAATGTTTATTCTTAAAACAAGTCACTGTTTTCTTAAGTTCTTTAATGATATTTTTTAGTACTTAAGCGTGTTCTTAATGGCAAAGTTAATTTATGGAAGGAGTCAGCTCGCGATTTGATTTATTTAAAGGTTCGATTTTTTTTTTTAACTTATTTAACGACTTAACAATCACTTTGATTTATTTAAAGATTTCATGTAAAATTTAAGCTTAAAAATGAATTTACAGCAAGCAATTTTTGTCATTTTTCAGAAGTAATTAAATATTTATTTGAATTTTGTATAAAAAGTTATTTTAAAGATTTATTTTTCCCTAAACTAAATACTCAAAAAGTTATTGAAAAACATTTTGGTTTTGGGAATTTCTTCCTGCTTTGCTGCTTTAATATTTCAGGGGTTTCCCCGCCCCAAAATCTCAGCCTCGTGCGAACGAAACAACGACCTTGCCCACCCAGTTACCCAGTTTGCAATCTGCAGTCCGCCTTAGTCTTAGTTAGCGAAACAAAAGCAAGTGAATGGCTATAGCTTACTAGAAATCAGATACGAAACTCATTTACTACACGCAGCAGTTGGTCATTACTATATCTTTATATATAGCATATAGACATATTGGAAAATTGGGGAAGTCTTTGCAATTTGGTTCTCATAAGGTCTAAATCCAATTCAATTCCATCTAATCAAATCGAATTCAAAAAGAGATACCAAAGCCCTAGAGACGTGCAGACATTTAACCCCCTGCCAAAGCATAAAATCCAAACTCGACTTGGCTTGTTGGCTTGGCTTAAAATGCAATTTGGCCGTGAAAACGAAATACCAGCAAACATAAATTAATTATTATTGTTAATAATATTTTTTTTGCTTTTGTTTTGGTTTTCTTCTTTGTATTAACTATGCATAAATTTAAAGCTTTTCAGCCTTTCAACTTTTGTAAAGCTTTAATTTTTGTTTTAAATTCATTTTTGTTTTTGGTTTTCATTTTGTTTTTTTTGTTTTTTTTGGTCAGTTAAGGTTGCTCTTTATATACGACGTGTTCATACTATTTATAGTATTTTAATAATTTCGTTTTAAGCCCCCCAATTAGCAAACAAGAAAACGGTTTTAATATCAAATTCTCAACGAACTTTGTGGATTTGATTGATGACTTCAACTTGGGCAGCTGATAAATGAAGTAGGCAGTTTCTTGCGGAATTTTGATTGCATTTTAAAGAATCAGAAAATATATTTCGAATTCTTGATATATACAGATAAAACTTTTTAACTTATAAGTTCATCATTAACACTCTTTCCCATAGTCGAAAACCAAAAAGAAAAAGTTCCCAGCTTAAGAAGTATGAGATCATCTGAGGATCATCTCAAGAAGAAAATCTCTGATCTAGGCGAATAGAAATCCACACACGCCAACTGTAAGCCATCGATCAATGACAAACGCGATTGCCAAAGACCGAAAAGAAATAACGAATCTAAAAAATAAAAACTGATTGCCAAAAAAAAAAAACTTGTTAACCAATTTCGATGCGAGTGGGAGAAACGACACGAATGACTAGTACTACAAATATGAGATCCGAACGGATTCTGTACGCTTTCAAAAGAGCCCAATTAACGGTAGTTATACCAATAATAATGCTACTACTAATAGTGCTTTAAAGATTCCGATTCCGATTTCGATTCGGATTCCGATTCCATTGATTTCCGCCTTTCAACCTTTCGCTGTTCGATTGTACAAAATCTGGGCTTACTTTATCAGCTGGTCGTTTCTTGAGGGGACTGTAAATTCACTTCGTTTTTTATTAGATCTTTTTTTTCCGCTTTTCTATTTTTTATTTTTTATTAAGGAAACTTTTGGTTTTGGGCACTTTTAGCACGTGTAATAAACTACTGATTGATTGAGGTATGTTTTGTACTTGTAATGACTTTTATTTTGTACTTTTTGTTTTGTTTTCTTTTGTCACAATAAAAAAAACTTTTTCGCGTTTTATAGTTTTTATTATTTTTGAAAAAATTTATATACGATTTTATGTTTTATGCTGGATTTTTGTATATAGTTTTACTGGATATTTTTTGCTTGGATCGTGTGAGGCGAAGCGTTGTCTGCACCGTCCGCCGGGATATCGCACACTGAATGTCCAAAGACGGCAAACACTTGTTATTATAACGCGTCAAAGCGTTTCCATTTAACGCTGACTGCGACGCCAACGCAGGCAGCGACGTCAGCGGCAGCGGCTCATCGCTCGCGGGGAGCAGCAAAAAGAAGAAATAGAAATACGAATAAAAACTGACGATGCTGACGACCGAATCTGGCCCGAATCAATAAGCCACTTGGGCCTGTCGTTGGTCTTGATAAGACTCCGCATCGCGACCCGCTCTCAGAGATAGCGTCAGCAGAGGCAGCGACTGCGACAGCAGCAGAGGCAGAGACAGCGACTCTGGCGTCGTCGGCAGGTAAGCGTTTACGCTCTCGACTCCTCTACTTCTTATCAGCAGCGATCGCACATCGATTGCATGAATGAAATCACAAAAATTGAAGAGATTCCATATCAAAAGCGTTAGAAAGAAGTAAGCTATCAAAGAGGGTGGGCTTATCTTGGAGAAGAGAAGAAAGTTTGCAGAAGAATTACTCCTGAGAATCATAAAGGATGTTTCAAACTATGCTTGGGGTTTGGTTTATGTCAAGATATGTCAAAAAGGGATGAGAATTGAAGAGAGAGAAAATAAAATATCTTTTTAAAGAAGAGCATTGGTTCCTTTTCTTCTGAAGAATCGAAAAAAGAAGTGATCATAGCTTTATTAAAGAGTATCTGTGAAGCCAAAAGAAGATTCTTCTAACGAAAAGAAGAGCAGAATTAATGATTTCAAAAGGAAAACCTTAAAAGCTAAAAGAAAAAATATCGAAAGACCAGAAGATTTTGTAAGAATCAAAAATATCTATGGAATAAAATATAGCATACTTCTAAGTAAAAGACAAAACCTATCTATAAGAATTGATTCTTAAACCCAGAACAGTAAATATCGAAAACCCCCTTGAAAAAAGAAACTAAAAAAGCTCAAAACCTTTAAATTTCGTTTAAAAAAAAGTTTTTTTTTAAAGGGGAGTCTCAGGTTCCTGGGAGAGCGCTTCCAAAAAACCCCCAATTGAGGAAGATTCAACTACCTAAAACCCCATTGAAAAGATCAATCAGCGAGCGGCAAAACACCTACGCCAACGTCTCTGACACTGCGACGCGACGCTAGTCGCGTAGACCGTTAGATCGAGCAAAAGCCGAAGAGGCGAAAATAAAACCCGATGGCAACTTCGCGACCGTTCGTGCCGATTCGTTGTAATTGACGATGATTTTTGACAGTTAAGTTGGCTCATTATCTGTTCATGATGCGCCGCGGGCAACGTGTCGTATGAGTGATGCGAACGCGTGATTTTTACAGCCCAGAATTATCCATGATTTACAAGCACAACCCTTTTGCTCTCATTCCCTTGTTTTGGGGCGAATTCGAGACAGATAACATTTCAATATTAAATTGCAGGCAAAAATGATTTTAATTTATTGAGACAACCTGTCGTATGAGTGATATACAGTTCATATTTAACAAGTTTATCTAAGAAACAAAATTATATATTGACTGAAATGGGGTACAAGTCACATGAGTGATGTTAGTTCTTGTTTTTTTTTCTTGAGAAACAAACCAATAGACTAGAAATGCCATATTTGTACCCTAACAAAACCTTAAAAATCTTAAAATAGATTACTAAATCAAAAAATAGCTAACAAAGTGTATGATTGTGTCACATATTGACCCACGGGGGTAAGAAAAAAAAAAGTGAGACATGGAGAAAAAAAAGGGGGCCAACAAACATGGAAAGTGTTTTAAACTTTGTCACCCGATTGTGAAGCAAACTCTCAATTTGAAAATGTATAAGCCGCGATCTCAACTATCCAACATCTGTACTTCAATTTTTATTTGAATTTCGTTTTATTTTATCTTTTTATTTTGATTTTTTTTCTTATTATTATTTCGTTGTTTTTTTTCTTGGATAGACAAAACTGGTTTTCCGCACCCGGATGAAATGTGCGAGAGAGTCCAAGTCCAAGACCCGAAAACGTACGCCCAAACATCTGGCAAATGTGGAATCTCGATTGGTAGCCCCCGCGGGGCTTTAATTAAGATTTGAATTCGGAATTGAGAATTGAATTCGCTTGGCTTTCAGGATGTTGTGTGAAGAGGCAGCGATCTCAATGGATGACCGCATGAATGAAAACCACAACGAGTGCCGCACCGAATGCCGCACCGAATGCCGTTTACAAATAGTTTTTGATTATAAGCCCTAACATCAACAATTTGCTTTTTTTTCATTTTTGCCTTACAATCTGTCAGGGAAAAAGTAAACAAAACATGGAAAGAAGTTAACCCAATATTTGTTTACTTGGATTGGGAACAACGAATTTGCGTATTTGGGACATGTCTTGCTTAAGAGAGGTATGATTTGTAGATTATCTTGTGAAAAAGTTGAGAGGTATGTCTAATTACATAAGTTCTATGTGCTGTTAGCTTCATAAATTAACCTAAATATTAATTCGAGTTACTGTAAATCGCTTTAACCTATATTTTCCCCTCAAATAGATGCCTCTTTAAGCCTTTCCTTTAACTATTTCCCGGGATTTAAACAAAGAGATACAGGAATGTTCAGGAAAATATCCCCCTGGGGGAGTTCCCTTGAGAACATAGCCATTGTATGAGACATGCAATGTTTTGCCCAACCCCCCTTTCCCCTCTTTCTTTTGTAGGTACAGTTAGCACCTGAACTCAGACAGGGAAGTACAATATCGATCAGAAGCGAGCAAATAGCCAGCGAAAATAAAACAATAAAATAAATACAAACAGACTGACAAAAGATACATTTACCGCTTATCAGAGATACTATTTTGTGTGTGCTTGGCGGGACTACGGGGGGTGGGAAGGAAGGTGGCAGGTCATTTACATAGTTGACATCGTTGAGCTGCTGGCTAGCTGGCAGGCTGGCTTTTCCGAGAAAATTACTCAAATGAAATAGCTTATAGTGTATCGATTGGCAATTGATGAACTGCCGTTGGTTTTTTGAGGTACAAACTGATGGGGTGGGTGGTTGATTTTTGGGAGAGGGAGGTCTCGGCGAGGGGCTTTCGTTCAATCAAATTGCCCGGCAGATAATTACGATCAACTATCGCTGGCAGATCGCCGCTAGTTTCGTCAGTAAACAGCTGACGTCCGCCCCTTTGTCAAATTTCTCCCTACCACAAATATCACCCAAGCTCGTGATACACAGGAAAAAATATTTGTAGGAAAAACAGATATTGTAAAATATCTATGAAAAGGTTTTAACTTATTTTAAAATTGACAAGTTGTGTGGTTCCTAAGAGTGGACCAAATTCATTCAATTTAAAAATTATTAGAAAAAATAACCATCGTTTACGGGTAATGAACTTTTCACGGTGTGGGAAAACCTTCAACTTGAACTAGGGATTGAGAGACATGCCTTGAGCTTTGCACGCGATTGAAATGAAATTAGCAGCTGCAAATTGCAACATGAATTATTACGCCAGCGTCCCTTAGCCTTGAACCCCACAGCGCATCGTTCCTCCACAGCTTTGCCTAAATACCAACCAATTATACAGATGTAATGAGCTTTAATTGTTTTTCCTTACCCAAACCCAACTATTGACAGGTGGCAAGCAGAAAAAACAAAACCAAACAATAAAATGATTGCGAAAACCAGAAAAAAAATAAGCTCTGGAGATCTCTGTGCCTGCCACAATCTTATCGCTCGAGATGTGCATATTAATTGCATACGAGTTTTTCGCCTGACAAACGATTACATTACATTCTGTCACTGCCTGCCTCGCCAAAATCATGTAGTGGGGTGGGGGGAAAAACCTGGGAGATACCAAGATACTTAGATAGAAAACCTACACGCAATTTGGCTATGGGTGTAATACATCTTTATAGATGACTCATTGACAGTACAGACCCACAGCGTTTGGGAATAATGGGTGGAATACCCGGCAATTGGGGGAATCGGGAATCTCCGTGGATGCGCCGGGATTTTGGGAACTTCTCTCTTATGATATCTCAAGGTGGATAAAAGGTAAGTTACCTTATCTAGCCGCAAGATATGATTAGGTGGAAATGTGACTAAGAAGGGGGAAAAGATAGTTTTCAGAGAAAATTCTTTTATGGAAAAGGTTTAATGGCTCGAAAACCAAACCCTCTCCCGAGGCATATGAGCAAAGGGTTGAATTTTCTATGACTGTGAGATTTTAAGGCTGTCGAAAATGGCAACCAAATTGTGCAAAACTTAAACATTTATAACTTCAAGTTGACCAAGGTCTTGACCAAGGGAACGAAAATATAAGTTGACATACGTTTTAAAATGGTAAGTTAATTGACAGGCTGGCGGCTGGTTAACCATCAAAATAATTGAAGAAAATCTAATTTTTTCAGTGGTTTTCGAAATGATTGTGAGTTCCCTCAAACAATTTTTGATTATTACCTATCGTTTTTATGAATTTTGAAGCTTTTGAAAACAAAATACATTGTTTTGCCATGATCAACGATTATTTACCATCGCCCTTTTGCGACTTACGCTTTGTGATTAAATTCAAGAACAAAACAACACTCGTATTGCCAAAGATAATCGCAGTTATCAATATCGTTTGGGTCACCTGAATGGGTTCTTTGACTCCACCTGACCATGAGTGAATCATGTATAATTTTCCAAAGAATCCGATCAGATTCCCACTAACTAACTGGCCATGCCTGAGCATTGAAAAATAGTTTAGGAGGCCACTGGCCACCGGTGAGATAATGCTTATTGTTCGCGATCGAAGTCAGCAGAATCTGGCTGGACATAAGTGCTTTTGGATGACGCAAAGTTAAAATCGAAAATCAGAAGATATAGACCCCTCGCTTCTCGCCTCATCCTTCTAACCACTTGAGAGATAGAATCAAAGGGGAAATTCTGGGTTCTAAAACGGCAATGGAGATGCTCTTACTTTTGAATTTTCCTTAAAACGAACTATGTTTCCTGTTTTTAAGTAAGTTATTGCTTTTACTTTCGATGGATTAATATTTTTTAGGCTCTTCTTAATTCTATATATTATTGTTACCCACATAATACCTTTATTTCTTAATCATTATTAGTCACGTGGTTATTTTATGGTCATTTCTTAATGCATTAACTTGATAATACAGGGTATTCCCATGAAACGTGCGTAGATCGCAAATGCGTCACATGGGGATTGCATTATCCATTAAATCAAGGGGTATATTGATTGCCCTTTTCCAGTACCTACACACGCCCCCCCTCTGTATTCCCATTCCTTGGTCGGATTTCGATTTCAATTCCTTTCGGCATTATCAGCTGTCACGTACTTCTGGCTAAAATTATCTCTGTCACACCAGCTTATACGAACTTGATCTTGATGTGAAGTACCGTAAGTGAAGGAAGTCAGGAACCCATCGAGGGTATGGGGGAGCTGGGAGCAGAGAGCTGGGCATGGCCAGAACCTTGAGTGGAGCCTGTGTTTACACAGAAATATGTGGCGCATATATATATGCGAATCTATCTAATCGGAGGGGAACTTTGTCCGAAATCTCGATTTTTTAATTATAGCGATTGAGTGAGTTTTTGCAGTCTGAAAACAACAATCAGAGTTGTGGCAGAAAAATTTGGTATTTATATCTAAATCAAATATAGGGATTAAGTAGTATGCACTATATAGGAATATATATATAAGAATATCGATCACATCCAACCTAATCCTACCTATTCTTTCGATGATTTATGGTTTCTTTCATTTAATATCATTTTGACAACCCTACCCGGAATCCTCACCAGCAACGCTGTGATTCTTATCACGTCGAGTGCATTCCCGGTACTTCTCAGGTGTTCTTCGTCTTCGTTTTTTATTTATTTTTTTCCTGATTTTTTGTGCAATTTATCAACGGATTTAAT